AATATTATAGTAATATAATTGTATTATCACATAACAATATAATCTTATAATCTTATATAATATTAATATTATAGTAATATAATTGTATTATTATATAATAATATAATATTTTGAATAAATAATTTAAAAAGACAAGTATGTTTGATTTTTTTTGTTTCTTACTGGTTTTAAATCTGATTAATCTCTTTAGGAAGAGCTGGAATCTCTGTTCATGCAGGTAGTCCTTTACTTGCAAGCCCAACTGAACTTCCGTCGTTCAGCAAGGCAGTTCTTAAGTAAGTCATGCCCAATGACCTTTCTTGCCACGTTAATTAAGCAAATCGCTGAGGTTGCTTCTCCCATTGACTCAGAAGCCAGCTGGGAAGGCTGAGACCATCATCAATGAAGGCCGGTTGCCAAGCGATTGAATTTTGTTCATGTGGTACTAGGGATGCTGCAACGGTCATAAGTGCGAGGACCACTCATTTTTTTCCAATGCCATATATAACTTTGAATGGATACTCAGCAATTGGTTGCAAGCCAAGGAGTACCTGTACTCATCGGGGCCGTTTGACCAAAAGATTACATTATATATTTCTCCCATTTTTAAAATTCTGGTTTCCTTTTTAACCACGAGTGAGGTGCGTAGTTTTGGGGAGCCCAAATTGCGTCACAAACAGAGATTAGGGTCAGAGCCACATAAGGGGCTCCTTGGGGGTTAGGTGGTAATAGTGGGGTGCCATGCTTAGAGGCCAGGAGGTGGGGGGGGCAGAGGGATTTCAGGAGAGGAAATCATTCACCCTTTATCCTACAGGTAGTCCTTGACTTACAACGACAACTGTGTCCAGAATTTATCCTGCTAAGTGAGAAATTTGTCAAGTGAGTCCATTTTATGGCTTTTCTTGCCACAGTTATTAAGTGAGTCACTGCAGTTGTTAAATTAATAAGTGAATCTTATTAATTTAAGTGAGTGTTTGTTAAGTGAATCTTGCTTCCCCGTTGACTTTGCTGGTCAGAAGGTCCCAAAAGGAGAATCACATGACACTGGAATGGTCATAACTAAGAACCAGTTGTCAAGCAGCACCTGAATGTAAATCACGTGGCCATGGGGAGGCTGCCACGGTTATAAATGTGAAAAAACAGCCATAAGTCCCTTTTTTTCAGCGCCATTGTAACTTCAGATGGTCACTAAACGAACCTTTGTAAGCCGAGGGCTATCGGAGTAGGCCCTACTGTCAGAATACTGCTAGTCCTCGACTTACAGTGATTCAAAGATACAACAGCCTTAAAGAAAAAAAAGGCGAGTGATATCCGGTCCTCATTCTTATGACCATTGCTGCAACTCCATGGTCTCTTGACCAAAATTCTGTTGCTTGGCAACCGGCAAGTATTTGGTTGCAGCATCTCCTGAGGTCATGTGATCACCATTTGTGGCCTTCCTAGGGAGTTTCCAACAAGCAAAGTCACTGGGGAAATCTGGCTTCACTTAACGACTTCACAATTCACAATTCGCTTCACCGTCGAAGAAAGAAGGTCGTAAGTTCAGCCATGACTCTCTTAACAACTGCCTTGGAAATCCTGGTTCCAACTGTAGTTGTAAGTCAAGGAGTAACTGTAGTTACATGAATATACAGTTATTTTTTAAAACCTTTTCTCTCTCTGAGCACCCTAAGAATATATCTGCTGAACAAAACTCCACATTGGTGACAGGAAGGGCATTCGGCCAGTAAACACTCTGCTAGCTCCATTCAGTTGCCCAGACACTCCATCCCACAAGGGATTATGGGATCATTAAATGATGATGATTTTTCCGATTGCCTATAAACTAATTTCTAGTAGAAATAAGAAACTCCCTGGATTACCCTTCATAAGACGGCTTCATAAGATGGCTTTTCCACCTGATTTCATTCGCCATCTTTTAGTAAGATAAAACCTCTTTTGCAATAAAATGATATATTTGGAGGCTTATCTCACTTATTAACAGGAGTGGAGCAACGGGAGTGGGCCAAGGGGGAAAAATTGGTCCATGTCACTGTTTCCATGGAATTCATTTTTTTTTAAAATTAGATGGAGAATTTGTAAGCAACAATACGTGATCTAAATGGTAAGGATGATCAAGGGGGGGGGGGGGAGACTATTTTTTCAAGATGGATACAGAAGGTTTTAGTGCAGGGGTGTCCAACCTTGGCAACTTTAAGACTTGTGGACTTCAACTCCCAGAATTCCTCAGCCAGGTTGGACACCCCTGTTTTAGTGGATTAAACCCTGCTGGCAGCAATTTACTCTTTGATGGTGAACTTCTGACAACCCTCTCCAATAACCAATTTTAAATTGTCAAAGGAGATAATAGACTATAAAAAAAAACCCGACATAGCCCTTTCAGGAAATGGCACCAATGGAAATCGCTTTTAAGTTGTTTTTAATAAGCTCAGACACCCGTTGAGGAAGATCAAGGAAAGAAGAAAACAGGGGGAGAGAAAAAAATAATCCGAGATGGGTGAGATTTCATTTTTTAAAAAAAACACACCAAAGGACCTTTGAGAAGCACAGTGGAAATAAGAAAAAAAAATTATGAGAAAAAAAGAGTTGAAGGATAGCATTAACAAATAAAAATCTATGTTAAAATCCAGTCTGTCAATTACACACGGCCTATAATCGTCTCCATTGTCCTCACCACTCTCTGTAGGGACTTTCTATCTGAGGCACTGTGGCCTGTGGCAAAAGCGGCATACACAGCTATACAGAAAGCTTAGGGATAATGCAAATATTTTTAAAAAGGACATATGTATGAAATGGGAACAAGACCAGGTCGGAAAGTAAAATGTGCAGAAATGTAGCCGAGAATTGTAGAAATGGTGACAGGTAAGAGAAATTCAGAAGGTACTGAGGTTAGCAAAGGACGTTGAGTATTTTTTTTTAAAGACTTATTTAGATATGTTCAAAATATAGGGAAAAGCAAAGAGTCGGTGTATTGGCTGCTCGGTGAAGAAGGAAGAATGGTAAATTAAATAAGACAATCCAAATTATACACTCGTGTTAAATGTAATCCCATTAACACATGATGTGATATGCTTTAATGTTATTACAAAACCTGCTCAAAGCAGTAGCACCCATGCAAACCATGAAGCTGAAGTGAAGACACGTATGATTGGGTAATCACACAAATGCTTGGGTGGGGGGGGTGGACAAGATGACCTCCAAGGTTCCTTCCAACTCTGTTAATCTGTTAAACCAAGAAACAGCTACTCAACTCCTATTGGGTTTGCTCTTTTCCGACAAAAAGTATGCATTCCACTAGAAAACCGAAGAGCAGGATAGAGAAATAAGAGCCCTGAGATTGACAGAAACACAACACAGGGAATACCTCTTTATTCTGATTATGTTTAAAGCTCCACAGATAAATGCCATCCTAGGGGACTGAAGGAAGCAGCTGATAGTTGGGCCAAATTCTTATGTATTAATCTTGGAGAAATCCTCGAATGGTGAGGTGGTCTAGAGGTGGAGCTCTCTTGCCTCACAATCAGGAGGCTGTGAGTTCGATCCTAGGTAGAGGCAGATATTTCTCCCTCTGGGCGCAATAAGAATATATCTGCTGGGGGAAAAACTCCTCATTGGTAACAGGAAGGGCATCTGGCCAGTAAACACTCAGCTCCATTCAGTTGCCGAGACTCCACCCCGCAAGGGATTATTATTGAGGTCATTAAAAGAAGAAGATGATGATCTTGGAGAAATCCTGCTGAAGTGAAATGAGGAGAGCAAATGAAGTCCCTATTTTCAAAAAGAGGAAAAAAGGAAGATGGAGTAAGCCAAGAGACCCCCATCAGGTTAATATGAATTCTTAGGAAAATTCCTCAGCAGATGGTGAAGATACGGCTCTTACGCACCTTGTAAACAATGACTAGAAATTACATCTATCGGTCCAGAATCAATTTGCCAGGTTATTTATTTACTTACTAGCATTTATATCCTGCCATATTCAATTGAGTCTAAGCAGTTAGCTTGTTCGTGGAATGGGTAACTTTCATAGTAGATTGTGGGAATGCTGCAAGACATACTATATCTTGACTTTTGCAAAGCATTTCTTAAAATGCCCCAGGCCTACTGATTGGCAAGTGGATAAATGTGGATTGGATAGATGGATGTGTATGTATGTATGCATGCATGTATGTATGATTACACTGAAAAAAATTATCATCTGTATTCCAGAGCGGCATGATGGCCTAGAGGTGAAAACATTCACCTCCCACTTAGAAGGTTGAGAGTTCAATCCTAGGCAGCAACAGATGTTCAGGTTGCAAGAAGAAAATATCTGCTGTGAACTCTGCCTAGGCATCAGAGCAAGGGCATCTGGCTAGTAAATGCTCAGATCGATTCAGTCACCACAACCCTACCCTGAATTAAGGGATTACAGGGTCATAAAAAGAAGAAAAATTCAAGTAATCTGTCCAAAAGTAAAGTAATCTGTATATTCATTAATGCTTTGAAAAAAGAGATGGAAGGAATGCATATCAAATGTAAAGATGATTTCAAATTGACTAGGATAACTCATATGCTAGAAGTTAAATAAAATTCAGAATGGTCTTGATTGGATAGGAGCATGGTGGCATAGTGGTTAGAGTGCAGTACTGCAGGCTCCTTCTGCTGACTGCCAGCTGCCTGCAATTTGGCAGTTCAAATCTCACCAGGCTCAAGGTTGACTCCGCCTTCCATCCTTCCAAGGTGGGTAAAATGAGGACCCAGATTGTTGGAGGCAAATATCCGAACCCGTGGTGGGATTCAAAAATTCTTACTACTGGTTCTGTGGGCGTGGTGTGGTGTGGCTTGGTGGGCGTGGCAGGGGAAGGATACTGTAATGTCCATTCCCTCCCCCCCATAATAACCTGCTTTCCAGCTCCATTCTCCTCTGCAGGGCAACCAAAGAAGACCCAGCCAATCAGCTGGGACTTGGGAGGTGGAGAATAGATGGGGGCGGGGCCAGTCAGAGGTGGTATTTACCAGTTCTCCAAATTACTCAAAATTTCCACAACCGGTTCTTCAGAACTGGTCAGAACCGGCTGAAGACCCACCTCTGACCCTGACTCTGTAAACGGTTAGAGAGGACTAGAGCACTGTGAAGCGGTGTATAAGTCTAAGTGCTATTGCTATAGAGACACGGGCTGGGAGTAATCGAATGAAATTTCACAAATAAATGTGAAAGTCTTTGTTTAGGAAACTAAATGCACATGTACAGATATATGACAGAAGATGATAACTGTACTTGGGAAACAGAATAGGAGTTTCATTATAAACTGCATGGAAGTCAGGTGTGTGATATGACTGGAAAAAGGGAGACAAATGCAATTTTATGCTTGCCTTGTAATTTCCACATTACAGGAAGTAATCATTCAACTCTCTTCCCTCTATCAATCAATCAGTCAGTCAGTCAATCAGTCAACAAGTTTAAGATGCAGCCTAAAAGCTACAGATTTAGTCATTAAACTGTTTAGCTCTATTTTAAAACAGTGTTCACTTGTTATAAGCTGTGATAAGCTGTTCAAGTAATAAGTATAAATTACAGGTAG